TGGCTTAGGGGCTGAACGTGGACTGAGGGCAGAGTATCTGCAGTATGGACACTCTGGCCTCAGTGCCGGCCTCCATGTGACAAATTCATGTACTCTGATATCACAGCACACTGTGAGCTTCATACGCAGTATGCGTTAGAAGCTGCTGTACAAGTTAGCTAGAGCCCACCACATTTCCTGGCTGGAGGACATCCAGCACCATGTAGCACTTTCACTTTCTGCCTTACTGTCCCTGACCCACCCCTTTCATTCATTGGATTTCCCTTCTTTCAATCATGGAGGCTCAGTATCACATGAGGGTATAACCTGGGGTGGACCTGCACACAAAGCTGTCTGGTCCTGGCGATTTATTTTTAATAAGTTTGTCTAATGTGTTTGGAACCTAGATTTCTGTCAGCCACGGAAGTACATTAAGTACATTGTTATTAGCATCACTGTACTGACTATCAAACCCGTCTTTTTTGTTTGTATAAAACTGAGGAGAACAATACATTTAATACATCTGCCTTCTCCTTATCACTCCAACTCTCCATGTTCATCTTTTATGCGGCCTACATTTTCTGTCCTTACCTTTTTACTATTGATATATCTGAAGATTTTTGGCGGGGATTAGTTTTACTTACTGTAAAAATATGTTTTTCACATTTTATTTCAGCTGCCCTGATTGCCATTTTATATCTCATGTTGCATTTCTTGGAGTCCTGAAATGCAGAGAATGTTCCTTCCAATTGGTGGTTTTTTTAAAGCCAGTCTTTTCTCATTCATTTTCCTTTTTACACTAGAATCACATTGGTTTTATTCTTTTATATGTGTTGCCTATTGGAATATTCCAGCAAATGCAGTTGTTTAAGCCCTTAAAACACTCTGACTTGTCTGCCGTGTTCTTTGTTAAGAGTATTTGATCCTCATGAATATTGTGCAGTAAAGAGCGCAGCTTAATGAAGTTAGTCTTGAAATTTAGCATTCTTGTCATACAAATATGACTCTTTCTATCCATCTATTTTATTATGCTTAAAGTAACTCTAATCTCAGGAGTTAAAAGACAACTATGGCTTAACCTTTTTTGGCCATAGTTCTCTTTAGGCTCACAGGAAGATATTTACTATGTCCTGCTGTGACCCAAAACTCAGCATCTAGCAGGCTATTGGCCATTATAGGCTGACAGCACAGAGCCGCACTGCGGCCAGGAACGATCGTAACAATATTGTCGGGATCCATACCTCCACCTAATTGGCATCTGGCTCTGCCTCTCTAGAACGAGTGCCAGCTGTGTGCTAAGTCAGCGGTGGAGGATTGGAGAGGGGAGGGGGCAATCCCTGTAGTGAGCGGTGACTGACAGTCATCACTCTGCAGGGAGAAGATCGGGAACTGAGTGATCAGAGGTTTGTGATCTCTCAGTTCTCGATCTATAGATCCGACATGTGACAGCTTCAGTGTCACACGTCGGCTCTAATTATGGGAATGAGTGTATTTCACCCATAATTCTCCTTCACATCTTAAAAATACATTCAAGTACCTTAACTATTAACAAGAATGTATCGTGTTTGTGTATCACTCAGCTGTAGATCCTCAAATCATCTCTGAATTGGTGCTGACACTGTCCTTCCATGTGCAAGGTGACTACATTTGTTCCTCATGGTCCCTGTGTGTGTGTTGTAAAGTAGACACCGTTCCAAGCTCCCGTGATGGACTACATTCTCATGTTTAGTTTACTAATTTGTATTGAGATTGTAGTCCAGCATGGGAGCGAGCATGGAGCGTTGGCTATTTATTAACAATCGCTTATAAAGCCATCCACAACTCTGCCCCCGGATATACCTCAAACCTTGTCTCAAAATATCACCCTAACCATCCCCTCTGCTCCTCCCAAGCCCTCCTGCTTTCCAGCTCCCTTGTCAACTGCTCCCATACTCGCCTCCAGGACTTCTCTAGAGTCTCTCCCATCCTCTGGAACTCTTTACCTCAACCTGTCCATCTATCTCCCACCTTGATTGCCTTTAGACCGCTTGAAAGCTCACTCCCATGATAGGCTACAATCTCAATACAAATTAGTAAACTAAACATGAGATTGTAGTCCAGATTTATAAATCTGTCGTCCACGCGGCTCTACTGCCACTAGATGGTGCTGAGCAGCATCTAGTGGCGTCAGCCCCTTTGTTGGTGGGAAGGTTACACTTTTTTTTTTACACAAGTTTTTTACACAAGTTTGTTACTGCCTTTATGCTAAGTAAAAGGGTTTGGGTATGGAAAGTGTTGGAGTTTGCTTTATTGTCTGGGATAACATAGAATGGATTGGTATTTAGGAGGACACTTGTGCTTTTACCTTAAGTTTAAGACATGGTCAACTGTTGTCACCATCAGAAACCTGTACCGAGAAATGCCATGCAGCCAACTCTGAAGTAGACAGACAGTGGCTGCAAAGAGAGCACCAAAGGATAAAACGAGGTGAAAGTATTGTATTTTGTTAATGGCAATTGTTTAGAATACATATTACTTGTAACAAACTAAATGTCATTCAGTTATTGTTTACATCTGCTTTAATATTCTGACAGTGACTTAAAGTCTTGTGTTATTTATGCCACTGTCTATACACATGGTTTTATCTCACTTCTGCTTGCCAGAATAACCATAGCCTGATGAATTAAGTAATCAAAGCAACTTGATACTTTTAGTTGAAAGATGACTCTGTACAGAGAGTTCAGCTTTCTACCCGTTCTTACTGTCTGAAACTCTACTTCTAAGCCAGTCAGTTCTGCAATGGCTGCACATTCAAAACAAGGTAATGGCATAGCAATAAAGGGAGTGTAACAAACTTCATGAAGCTTTAGCCAATGTGACGTTAATCAATTGAGCTTTTTTCAGAGTGCCCTGGAACCCCAAATCCCTGGGCTCGCTTTTATAAATATACAGACTTCAACTATGTAGGCAGTGGTTTGATCCTCCAACCCCTTCCCCAATGACCCATTACTGCAGCAGGCAACATCACTGCCAATTAGTGAGTTGCAAGAGATGGAGGGCTAAAGGGTCAAACATCCAATTAGAAGTATTTGCATAAAAGACACTACGTCTGTTGGTGCCGGTTATTGCACTCCAATGACATTTCTCTAACATTAGTTTCAAGTACACTTATATATCTAGCTCTTTCCTATGTGCTTTGTAAATTACCTACAGCCATTAGGCAATTACTTCCTGTCCTGACAACATTACCAGCACCAGGTAGGGATCAAATGTTTAAGGATTGTCTTCAGATCATTGAGGAGATCCTTGCAGTAAAGTCTCTTGACCATTGTCTGTGAAGGTTCTCATTTATCCAGGTCATGGTAGTAGTAAATAGAAAAAACACTACCACTATGGTGTATGAAAATACACAGCAATAGGTATGATTGATGACCTATTTGCATACAAAAAGAATAGATACCACCTCTGAAGGATAGTTTGGCGGAAAAAAGAGGTTATACTTCAACCAGTCTCAATAATTAGCCTATTGGCTTACTTTATTACTAATACTAAATATATACTAATAAAGTAAGCCAGTAGGCTAATTATTGAGACTGGTTGAAGTATAACCTCTTTTTTCCGCCAAACTATCCGTCAGAGGTGGTATCTATTCTTTTTGCATGGTAGTAGTAAGTCACATTCGACTGGATGTGTTCTGTAATTTTGAAGATGTTTTGTAGGTTATCCAAGCCACTTCTTCAGTCCTAATGAGTGTCCTAATTAGTGTTGGGAAGAAACGCCAGCATTTATATCTATACAGGTAGCATTGACACCATGATGATTGGATTAAGGTGTCTGTGCTACCTGCTTGGATATAAATGCTGGGGTATCTTCCTGACACTCATCATAACCGAAGAAGTGACTTGTAGAAGCTATGAACACAATCAAGATGTCAGATCAAGTCCAATGGAATTATTATTATTATTCAGGATTTATATAGCGCCAACAGTTTGTGCAGCGCTTTACATTTACAATATAAGGAAGACATTAGAATCACAATACAATTCAAGACAAGATGGTAAGGAGGGCCCTGCCCGTGAGGGCTAACAATCTAAAAGGGAGGAGCAAGTGATACATGAGGAGGTGGCTGTGTGGGGATGAATTGTTTGAGTTTAAATGTGTTTGAATTGAATGGTACTAACTACTGCCAGATCAGTTGGCCATTGTGGGATTTATTCAGCCAGCAGAATTGATCCCAGAAAATAGTAACTTCTTTGTGGATAAATAATGAAATGGTCAGATAGTAGAGGCTGTGTTCTTTTCTGTGTTTTGTTCTCCAGTGAAGTGGAGCACCATAGCATGAGCTATTACAGGTATAATGCAGACCTCTAGAGAAACAGATGATCTGAAAGTGCTTGCTCAGGATGGTTATTGTCTGGCTGTATCTGAATTCAATACTTTAAGTAACTGATCCGAACCAAGTACAGTATGTATTACTTTGTCAGGGTTATGTCAGCATTTCCGATCTGCATTTTCATTTCTGGGTAGTGAATCAGAAAGTACTAAAGCCATGGGATAAGCATGACAGCTAGGCAGGCATTTTCAGGCAGCCAACAATGGCCCCCGACGAATCTCTTATAACAGGTTTCCTTTAAACCCTTTTTTTTTGTTACATTTACAAAATCGATACTATCCATTAATAACAAAATCTCAGAAACCAGGTTTCATTTTGTATAACATATCTTGGTGCAGCTTTATTATCATGAATTGTAGGCTGTATTTTTTACAAAACAAAGAATAAAACACACTTTTATTTTATTATACATATAAACCAAAATTACTGTTAATTTATAATGAAATTAAAGTTTTATTTGTAGGTGTATTTGAAGTCCCCAATTGTTCTTATATGGAATGCCACCATTTCCGTGGGGTAATATCTCACTGTAAGTTACCATATTTTATACACCTCTTTGAGGTGAGTAAAGAAAATTAAATTCCAAGTCTTGAAGTAAAGAAACGCCATCGTGCCAGAAAGAAATCTGTCTGTATCTTCATGAATATCATTAATACATAATGTCCTCTGCAGTTACGTTTGCCTCTTCCGTTTTAGTCTTCAGCTTGGGTAAGCGTATTGCGGTGGCCGCCATGAGCAGCATATTGACAGCATGCATTGCTCCACTAGCAACACAGACCCAAAAGGAGTCTTCATACTTCTCCTCTAGAATAACGATCGTGAAGACGTTTTCACTGAAATTAGCTACCCGATCTGTCAGGCGGTGGAGCTGGACTGCGGCTATGAAGCTGGTCACCGCAAACACTATGAATAGACCTGCAAAGATATAATGTGCATCAATAAACACTGACACAAATGATGTATGGACATACCAAGTTTTAGAAATCATGCTTGGTTTTCTAATTCCACTTATTATGACACCACAATATTGCTTAGCTCTCATAGAAAAAAAAAATACATGGGCTGCCATTACTGGTTTCCATCTGAAAACTGTAGCTGTCGGGATGCATCTAAATTACTGAGCCAGAATTAGCATGCAATAGACATGTGCGATTCGTTTCGTTCCGAATCGAAATTCGGACAAATTTTCGGAAATTCGGATGTATCCGAATTCCGAATTACAGATATAACGAATGCAAACGAATCCGAATTTCCGTTTCCGAAATTCGGTAGCGGTAGTTCGGTCGAACGTTCGTTTCGTTTTCGTTTCTTATTCGTTTCGTTCGTTGGAGCAAAGTGACAGAGAAGGAGAAAAACATTTTTCAAATGTCACTTTGCTGCAAGCGAACTAAACGAATAAAAAACGAACGTTCGACCGAACTACCGCTACCGAATTTCGTCCGAATCCAAATTGACTTTCACACCCAAATCCCGAAAAACGAAATAACACAAATCCGAATTTAAAACGAAGCGAAACTAAACAAATTTTTTGGCAGTGCACATGTCTAGCATGCAATACATAAGTCAAGGGAAAAAAAATCGTAAATATTTGCTTGTTCTTGGCCAGTGACGTAGTGTACTGAAGTCTAAAGCTGGCCATACACCTATAGATTTTCTATGGTCAGATGGAAAAGGTGCAGATTCCTCCATCTACGCTAAACTGTGTGGATGGAGGAATCTCCCGCTGGACCAAGCTTCAGTATCTTGCTAGTCAGCCCCACTGGCTCTCAAAATACCTGAACAATCTGATTGGATGCAGGCATTGTTCAGGTATTTTGAGAGCCAGCGGGGGCGACTAGCAAGATACTGAAGCTTGGCCCTGCGGGAGATTCCTCCATCCACACAGTGTAACGTAGATGGAGGAATCTGTTGCACTTTTTCCATCTGAACATAGAAAATCTGCAGAATATTTATAGGTGTATCTCCAGTTTATGGGAACTAGTATTTTTAAAAGGAGAAGTCAGCAATTGGAGTTCACAGGTGTACTCTAAGGCAAACAAGCTCGGTGAGGGAATTATCCTGAAAAGGAAAAAATAAATGTTTATAGAAAAAAATAATGGTTGAAAAATCAGTCCTGTTCCTAGGGAAGGAGCACATAGGGGCTTATATAAAATTTGTGCCAAGAAAACCAAGCAATCTCTGTGAGTTGACTATTTGTTCCATAGTGTGTGATATAACATTTATAACACACAGGTACATACGTTTTGCTCCACCCAGAAAATTGTTCATTATGCAGCCGCAGTTCGTCGTGTGCGGGCAGGTTTTTTTTTTACATTTTGAAGAGTTGGCGTCATCGTGGACAACACTGGACATCGTGATTGATCCCTGGATTACCTCGGTGGATCAATTTCTGGGATTTGTATTTATTATTAAAGGACTTGTCAACAAAATTTTTTTTTTTTTAAATAAAGGATTTTTTCTTAAAGTGTGAGCTGTTTATTTACTTTTTACTTGAACCCTTAAGTGAATGAGTAGGGGTACAAGTACCCCTACTCATTCACAAGGGAGGGCAGCATCTGGGTGCCCCTAAAAGGGGTACTCCGATGCAAATAAGCACCCTGCCCGCAGACCCCCACAACCAACAGGTCAGGGCTTGTGGGGAAGAGGCCCTTCTCCTCACCGGCACGGGGACAAGGTGCTTTTCCAGGGGGAACCCTGGAAAAGCACCCTCCCAAGGCCGAGGGCATGTGGCCTAGTATGGTACAGGGCGGGGGGGCACTCGCTAGTCCCCCCCTTTCCTGCCCTGCCAGGTCTGTGCTCGAATTAAGGGTCTGTTTGGGAATTTTAGGGGGACCCCACTTTTTCCCCCCATTTTTGGGGTGTGGGGATTCCTCCTCAAAATTCCTACCAGACCTAAATTGCCCAGTGTGACTTTTGGCGGGAACCCCTCGCACTTTTTTTTTTACTTTTTAACTTGGGGTTCCTCCTATCTTTCCTACCAGACCTAAAGTTTCTGGTATGGTTTGGGAAGGGGAACCCACGTTTTTTTCTCTGCTCGCTACCTCCGAGGTAGTGAGCAGAATAACGGAGCCAAATGCTGCTCGGCGGCATTTGGCTATTCACTTACTGCCATTCGGCCCTATGAGAATGGGGGTAAACGGCAGTTAGTGAACTGCCGGGCATTCGGCTCAGCCGATCCAGATGTTGGATCGGCTGAGGCGAACGCGTTCTGTACTTTGGTTCACTTGAGCATGCTGAGCAATGAGCCAAGGGAGCCAAAGCCAGCCGATGTACAGCTGATTTCAGCTGATGTACGGCTGAAATCAGCTAGACAGGACTGAAGTGAATAGCTGAATGGCGTCTGGCTCACTTCACTTCAGCTCGGTAATTCATTAGTGAGTAACCCCCAAAGTGTGCTTGATGAAAATGTAAGACCACCTGTCTGAAAGTTTAAGTTTAACTAGAAATGGATCCTTTAGTAATGAAGCACACCAGCAAATTCACCAAGGAATGAATTTAAAGTCAAAGTCGAGAGATCTGAATCTTATTGAAATGTTATAGGGAAATTTGAAATGGGCATTTCCTGCAAGTAAACCCACAAACAATCAATGCCAAAGACTGGCGGGAAGTTTTGCAAAACACCTACAAAATAATTTCTCCTACAGGAAAATACTAGCTTCCGGGGCCAAGGGTGTTAAGTTTTTTGCAGTATACTATAGCCCTTATTGATATTTTTTATTACATAAATGATCAAAAATACAGATTTTCCTTTTTATTCAAGCACATTGCCTTTATCTGTAGGCACTGTTTGTTGAAACATGTGGAAAAAGTCAACACTTGCCATGGGGTGTGCTTAAAATGTATCTTAATCCAAAAACAAAAATGTAATATATTGCAGTTTACCAATCCTTAAATGTGATGACTGTATTTAATTCTCTTTTTAACCCCTTCGTAACTGACGACGTACAGTGTACGTCGCCAGCATCGGGGCTGTTTAAACAGACTCCCGGCGACTTTTGCCGCCGGGAGTCTGTTTAAACTTGTAGAGCCGACTGTCGGCTTTACAACAGAAGCGATCCTGGCGACTTACCTGTCGCCAGATCGCTTCTGCGTCCCGAAGAAGGGGCCGCCCCCCCGCCGGACACCCCCGCCGTGCTTCCCGGGCTCCGTTGCCCCTCCTACGGGCCCGGGACCGGCGATCTTTGTGTCCGCGGGGAGCTGGGGAGGAGGTCGACGAACTTCCGTTCATCGATCCCCTCCCCGTTCTATGGGACCGGGAGCGATGCAGATTGCATCACTTCCGGTCCCTGGGCTGTCAGTTCTGGGCTCCTGCAGCCCAGCTATAAGCTATTGAAGTGCGATCTGCACTTCAATAGCTTATTTCCAGTGTAAAGGTGACACTGAGGGTCTTTTGGACCCCCAGCATCACCTTAAAGAGGACCTGTCACCACCATCTGCTATTACATGGGGGGGCTTGCAAGCCCCCCCATGTGATAGCAGTCAAAGTAAAGTAAAAAAAAAAAAAAAAACAGTTTTTAAAATTAAAATGAAATAAAATAAATCTAATAATAATAAAAAAAAAATTTTAAAAGTACCCCGCCCCCGCGAGCACGCGCGTCGCCACGTAAACACGCGTCGGGTGCGCCTACGCATGAAAACGACGAACGCGCTACACATGTTGGGTATCGCCGCGCACGCCGGAGTGAGAACAATAATTCTAGGGCCAGTATTTTGTTGTATCTCTAAATTGATGACCTGTGGGGGCTTTTAAAGCGTCTTTTATTTACTTTTTGGGGTACTGCAGTTTTTCGCCGTTTCACGGTCGCACGCAATCTGTAAACTGGGCATGTTGGGTATCGTTTTACTCGTTGTAACCTCATCTTTTATATTTCATTAAAAAAATGGGTAATTTGTTGTGTTTTGGGGCATTTAATTAAATTTGTCACTAAATTTTGGGGTTTAATAAGGAGTTGCGCTAATATTGCGCAACATAAAAATTTTCAACTACCACCATTTTATTCTATAGGGTCTTGGCATTCAGAAAATATATAATGTTGGGGGGTTTTACGTCATTTTCAGGCCTAAAATGTGGAATATAACATGGGTGCAAAAAATGAAAAAAGGGCCTCAGTCATGAAGGGGTTAATACTTTTATTCCTGTACTTTCACCTGGTGATCCGGCCAGTAACACATTTCCTGTCTTACAGTGGCGCCACTTTTTGGAGGGGCAACAAAGCCACCCTTGGACAGCAGCATTGTCACCCTGTGTGAAGGGTAGTGTTAGATGTACTAGCAGATTTGGCATTGACTACTAGAATTAAAACCAAACTCCAGCTAACAAGTTTTAAGCAGGTATAGCAAAAGTTTTTTTTTAACCTTTTGGAATAAACATGTTTGTGAAGGTTCTCCTTCATCCAGGTCATGGTATATCTGTAAAAAATATGTTTTTTATACGTTTTTCCAGTTGCCTTGACTTATTTTTTACAGATATTTTGGTATAAAAGTTTTACATAAATGAATAAAAGCTGACAATTGGAAGCAACCCGTCATTGTTAAATGGTTTGGCTCAACCCTATATCTGCTTTTTTTGATGGACAGCTTGGCCTGAGGAAGTTTAAAAATAACAGACTTTATGGTTCCAACACTAGCTGAAAATAAAGGAAAAAAGCCTAAAAACAAATGCAACCACCATATCTAAGAATTGGTAAGCAAAAATATATTTCAATTTTGCTTATAGGTTTAGACAGGCTTTAATGTTTCACATGACTGTAGGATAAGTTAAAACACATGTCCATAGAATACAAAAACATGAATAAAAACCTGTTGCAACCTCAGAATCCTAAACCCACAGTTTATTGAGAGGAAAGCATAATGTCCCTATAATGCAGGGTCCAAATTGCTCTAACAGAGAAAATGTATTCTGGACCCCCACATGAAATCAAATACTTCCTCGATCAAGATTCTACAGTGTTATGTTTATTAATTTCAGTAGGCTTTATATTTTGTGCATTTAGAAACACATTCAGCCCTTTTTAAAGCAGGCTTTTGAGTTGGCTAGAACCAGCACCTGTAAAAGTCTATTCCACATATTCACAGTTCTTACAGTACAGAACCTTTTCCGAATGCAGAGCTTAAACCTCTGTTCCTCCTGGGTATACATTGCCTCTGTAAATTTACCCAAAAACACACTTACCTTAACACACACTTACAGGGTTATTCACTAAAGGGGAAAGAGTTTGGAGAAGGCAGGAGAAATTAACAATCTAGGACAGGGGTCTCAAACCTAAGGCCCTCCAGCTGTGGTGGAACTACAAATCCTATGAGGCATTGTAAGATTCTCACAGCCACAGACATGACTCGCGAAGAGAGATGCATCATGGGATGTGTAGTTTCACCACAGCTGGAGGGCCGGAGGTTTTAGACCCCTGATGTAGGACAACACAGCTGATTTGGAAACATTCTCCAATTCAGCTCACTTTCCAGTTCAGCTATGTTGTCCTAGATTGTTCACTTCTTCTGCCTTCTCCAAACTCTTCACCCTTTAGTGAATAACCCTATTAATGAATATCTAAACTAAAAATATTTTTATTTTTTTCATTTTGGATCGAGTAGAGCAGGGTTAAAACTAATGTGAGGATGTAAAAGAATATCTGTCCAAGGATAGCCCCTCTTAGACAATTATCATGGGAGCAATGGTCCCCATTAGAAGATTCCCCCTCTATTTCTGTTCTGGTGATAACTATACATTTTGGATCTCCTTTCACTTTTATTACCGATGACATTGGTGATCAGGACAATTATAGAGTGAATCTCCCTAACAGGGACAAGAATAAAAACCTGACAGTAGTTCTAACTCCTCACCAATCTATCCACATAAAAAAAATCTCTCTTCATAAATTAATCTCTTCAGCATTGATCCAACCATTTCACAGCTCAGCTTTCCCCTTCAAGGGGAACACAGTATTCATCTTTAGGCTTTGGATAGAGACAGGGAAGGAGCTCACAAGTGAAGTCCTACCACACAGTACATCATGGTACATTTGTTATTATTGTGTAGTAAAGAAGAACTTTTATCATTAGTAAAAAAAAATAGTAGTGGACCCTAAATGCAAGATTAGATACTCTGCTTTGTCTCCGCACTGAACCATCAATGTATTTCAGAGGAAAATCACATCTTTATTAAATACCTTCCTGCTCCTCTTCCCCTTCCCACATATAAGCCCAATGAACCACCTCCATGTTTACTCAGCGCACTTCTCAGACACACCTGCATCACTTACAACTTATCATGGAAGCTGTCATCACAGCAACTGACAACTTACAGCAACTCACTGTTTGTTTTACTGGCACTGCAGCTGACCTGTTTCCTCCCCCTGCATACCTGGTGATAGCACCTGGAGCCTGAGACATGCATTATTGCAGTTCTATGCTGCACTCCATGCACTGTAGTGACTGGTACAACTGGATGGTGCTTGTTTTGACAGCAACCCATGGCACTGTGCAATACCAGAGTAGAATAAGAAACGTCACCAGCACTCAGTTCAGAATCAAGAAAGAAGAATCCTAAACTGATTGCTGGTAATGTCTCTTCTTCTAATGTGGTGTCTGAGACGAGCACTGCTAAGCTAATGACATATTTATCTCATCGCTAGATGCGTGGTCAAACAGCTGTGGGGAGAGGAGGGTGCGTTGTTAACCACGCTATCTCAAGAACAACACCACCTAGAAAGATGGGACTAAGTGCTTCATGCACTTTGTCATCTGGGGTACACGCGTAACAAAGAAAATGTTTAATCATCAGCCAGATGTCACTTAGTAAATGTGATTTAATCAAATTACCTGCAATGAAGTTCCAGAGACATATACCAGCTGGACCTTTAATTGACCGATAAGGGACTTTCAGCGCATTGTAAATACAGAACCCGAAACTGATCAGAGCAAAAGAAATGGCGGTGCACAGGAAGAGGATAATGAAGACATGAAGAGCAGTGTTCAGCTGTTTCACCATATCCGGAAATACTGTAAATAGTAACAGAAAAATACATTGTGTTATCTATTCCACTACCGGTGACCACAGTGTATTCACTTTACTATGTAAACCTTATATAAAATATATGTAATCCCCTTGCAAAGAAATATCAAGCCACAACTCTTGCAATATGGATCATTTTGGTAGGCTGGGTTCAATTACTCGCTAGCTTCTAATTTTTACTCGAAAGTTGGCTATGGAAAGTTTTTTTCTTTTTTATCATTACTAGCATTTTTAGACTCCTTTCCCCATCACATTCTAAGAGCCGCACTTCCCAGATATTTATGCTTCACTACAAAAAATCCAAGAGATAACAGTGACACAGTCATTTCAGTGTGTAATAGCTGTGGTAGTTGAGTATAAATGTGCCCCTGGTGGAAAGTAAATCTAGGACCTTACAGGCTCATTTACATCTTTGTAGTGCAGTAATGTGCTTTGTACTGTTTGGTAAAGTCTGTGGCATTAAGGTAGTCATTTAATTTATATAGTTTGCCTAATGCACCAAAAAAGGTCTGTTGGAGTGCAATCCGAATGCACCAATGTGAATAAAATGCATTGTGGCATGTTGCAGTAATGATGCAACTGTGTACATCCTACCTAAATATCTTTGCTACTGAGAGATGTAAACACTTGTTGGGAGTCTAATATGCAGGACACTGAATCAATGTGCTGTTACTGAGATATGTATTTTTTCATCTTTGTGCTGCTGTTCTCTTGTATCCTTTTTCAACCACCTACTGTCTATTGGTCAACTTTAATATGATACAGGGCCCTGAACACCTCTTAAAGTCTGTACAATAGCAACACATTTAAATGATGCATTGCGTCAAGTTAGGTAGCCCATTCAAAATTAATTGGCTGTAACGCACTTTAGTGCCCAAAAATTTCGGTTCTGCTGCATTTTTGCACCATACTGCAAAGTACACTGGAGAAGAGAAAGTGGGAGTATAATAAGCCATAGTATTCGTGTCAGTGGCCACAATCACATCCCCAGCATCGGTTTCAGCATTGCTGTTAGTGGATGCAATAATAACCCACAGTATTAGTGTCAATGGATGCAATAATAACTCCTTATGTTGGTGTTGCTGGCAGCAATAATAACCCTCCATGTTGCTATCAGTAGACACAACAATAACCACCTGCATTGAAACCCCAATAATAAACCCCATACTGGGCTTCATGATGGTGGCTACTTTTGTTCCCCATGGTCCCGGTGTGTGTTGTAAAGTTGCCACCGCTCCAAGCTCACTCCCATGATGGACTACAATCTCATGATTAGTTTACTAATTTTGTATTGAGACTGTAGTCCATCACAGGAGTGAGTCTGGGGTGGTGGCTACTTTACAATACACACCGAGACCATGGGGAACAAAAGTAGCCACCCTTGGTGTCACCCCCTCTGAAAAGTCGGGCACTCGGTCATGGACCGTGAGCCGACAGCTGCACGAGAGAGGAGGGTACCCGGCGGCATACCTTATCCCCCCGGATGAACGTTCCCTCCTCTCTTTGTTTCCCCTAAAATCTCACGTTTAGTTTTGGGATTGTAGTCCATCATGGAAGTGAGCTTGGAGCGGTGGCTACTTTACATCACACGGGGAACAAAAGTAGCCACCCTCCAGAAGTAAGGACAGTGTCAGCACCAATCCAGAGATGATTTGAGGATTTACAGCCGAGTGGTACACAAATAAGAATTTTTTTTATTAATAGTTAAAGGAGAACTATGAGGTGAGTGCTTTTCACTCACCTCATAGAAATTATTTTTAAGGTTTAACTCCTGAATTTAGTATTACTTTAAGTATTATCATTCTTGCAGTAAGAGGAAAGAGATCCCAAAATGGGAAGAAACCGGGCCAGGAATTAGGTTCGACATCTTGATACTGGAGTTTTCAAGTGATAGAAGGTGATATAACTAACCCATCAGGCTGGAATTATATAGTGTAAGTACTTCCTGTACAGCAGCACTCAGGGAAGGAAAGGACCAGTTATATTATGTATAGCTGAAAGGATCATTTCCCATTTAAAGTTTACATACATACATGGAAAGAACATATATTTACATTATTATTAACTTAGACCAGTAGTAGACTGCTGACATTCTGAAAAGTCTACAACCAGTGTAATAATTCTACAAACATTAGACAAAAATTAAAAACACAAAGCAATCAATGCAACAACAACAAAATGATACCCAGCACTCTTTAATGCACATGAAATCCCTAACAAAAATGAATCAGTTTGCATGTTGATTGTTAATGAAATGAGTTGCATGTGAGTCCGCAATGATTGAGAACACATTGCAAATAAACTATAATTACTTTCATAGAGAACCATAGACCTAAATAGTAAATTGGTGTAAATGTTTCCATATGAGAACACATATTTGTATTTATTTATTTTTTAAAGTAGTGTTCTATGTCTATGCTGTCCACAATTTTACGGTACAGGAAATATTATAAGAGTGAAAATAATTAGGGAATGATTTCCCACCCGCCCAATTGTATGCTGAGCAAAAGCACTCCTGCCACTAAATGGAGCCAAAAGCCATTCCTATGCGGAACTACCGGCGTTGCAACTGCCCAAGGGCCCAAGGCTGGGGGGGCCCACTGTCAGGGGAGGAGGTGGAGGAGACCGGGCCCCAGCAGCACTGGTATGGTGGCAGAGGAGGCCGGGCAGAGCCGTAGCTAGCTCCTTTTGCGCCCGAGGCAAGAACAGAAAATTGTGCCCCCCAACTGGCGTGTTATGTCACCCGACGCCACATACCCACAGCATCATGCATCCCGCTTCCTGGATGGCGACGTGCATGCGCAGAATGCACTTGTGGCCAAATCCAAAATAGCATAAAAATTTGTTTCGTCTGACGAAACTAATGAAAACATTTTTAGTTTCCGTTCATTTAGTCTGAAACAAATCTTTAGTCTTTGCACATGTCTAGTAATATGTGTGCATAAGTGTGAGTGTGTGTGTGTTGTTTTTTCTTTTATGCATTTTTTTTTCATTATTATGGCTCCTGAGTCCAGTGCGTTACTAAGTCCAGAGTCCAGTGCGTTACTGAGTCCAGTGCATTACTAAGTCCTGAGTCCAGTGTGTTGCTAAGTCCAGTGCGTTACTAATTCCAGAGTCCAGTGCGTTACTAAGTCCCGAGTTTAGTGCGTTATTAAGTGCCAAGTCCAGCGCGTTACTAAGTCCTGAGTCCAGTGCGTTACTAAGCCCCGACTCCAGTGTGTTACCAAGTCCTGAGACCAGTGCGTTACTAAGTCCTGACTTCAGTGCGTTACAGAGTCCTGAGCCCAGTGCGTTACTAAGTCCTGAGTCCAGTGAGTTACTAAGTCCCGACTCCAATTCATATACTGCATTGCTGTATAATGTATTGCTGGGATTTGTAGTTCCTGTACAGCCGGTGCCATTCTGCATTAGTGTGTAAGCTCCTCTGTACAGAAACTAATGTGACTGGCTCAGTGTACCCTGTACAGCACTGTGGTGTATGTCAGAGTATATGTCAGAGCTATAACAATGTATAATATTAGTGTGAGACTGTGGGGGGACATTAGAGTCCTCTGGTGCAGAGACCACCTTACTGGGGGGCCAGTAAGATCCCAAGATAAAATCTTGCACCAGAGCAGGTCCGCCACTGCTTTCTATGACATCTTCTTAGTGTCTGATGAATTCCATTTTATAAATGACTGCATTAAAGTATTTAAGTGTATGTAAAACCTAAATATATTTTTCATACATGTATGGATCATGCCTCATTGTATACACGTCCGTGAAGGTTCTCATTCATCTAGGTCATGGTATATCTGCAAAAAATAAATCAAGGCAACTGGATTTGCTGTATTTTTCTTGAAGACGTTTTGCTGGTCATCTGACTAGTTTTCTTAATTTCCTAATTGAGAAAGCTAGTCGGATGGTCAGCGAAACATCTTCAAGAATAATACAGCAAGTCCAGTTGCCTTGACTTATTTTTTACAGATATACTCACTGTTAACAGTTTTCTTCAACAAATTATCTGTGAATCTGTTGCAAAGTGTCTTGCCTGTAGATCTTGCTAGTAACAGCACTTCCTATTGCAGGCTGACAATGCTAAGCAGCTGCCTCACAAATAACATCAGTATTGTCAGCTTGTCCTGCGATCTCTTTCAGTTGGCTTTTAGGCTTCCAATCAGGTGTGCAGGAGCCATGCAAAAACCTGATAGGCAGCCCAACAGTCAATTAAAGGACCAAATACATCAAGCTGACAACCCTGCTGCTATTCACAAGGCAGTGGCTAAGCGCTGCCATTCTGCAACAGTAAGTGCTTTTACTTCAGGAGTTTCAGGTAAGAAATGTAAAAAAAAATTCACAAAAAAATTATTTCAGAAAACTGAATACAAAAGCATGATGCCAAACATACTAAAAATACATTTAGGGTAAACATGCACTTACATTTTTCATTATGGATAGAATAGGGAATGGCTAAAACCCTTTACAGGTAAGGTTTAAATATACTTAAAAGTGACACCAAACTCAGGAGTTAAACCTTAAAAAATACATTGGAATACCCCAACTATTAATAAAAATGTATCTTATTTGTATATCACTCGGCTGTAGATCCTCAAATCATCTCTGAATTGCTGCTGACGCTGTCCTTCCTTCTGGAGAGTGGCTACTTTTGTTCCCTGTGTGTTGTAAAGTAGCCACCACTCCATGCTCACTTCCATGATGGACTACAATCTCACTACAAATGAATAAACTAAACATGAGATTGTAGGGGAAACATGAGAGGAGGGAACATTCATCCAGCGGGATAAGGTATGTCGCCGGGTCCCCTCCTCTCTCGTGCAGCTGTCGGGCTCTCGATCCATGATCGAGTGCCTGATTTTTCAGAGGGGGTGACACCAAAATGACTGTAGGTCATTTTGGTGTCACCCCCTCAGATGGTGTCACCCGATGCAAGCTGCACCCTCCACCCTCCCTTGTGACGCCACTGCCTCCAAGCAACAAACCTATTTTCAATGAGAAGTGTGCAACGTCTTCCTCCCTATTTCCCACAAGACTAGTCTCCTTTCATCTGAACCTGTCACAGTCAGGGCCGGATTTACTCTCTCTACTGCCCCAAGGCCAGGTTCCTCAATGCGCCCCCCTGCCCGCCAAACCCCCTCCTCCAATGCCCCCGTGGAGAATGGCAGACCTGCAGGCTGCATACAAGTGATCTCGGCGACATGGCCGGGATCACTTGTACAAAGCAAGCAGCGACTTCCCCGCTGTACATTTAGCTCTGCTTGCCCAAAGCAGGGCTAAATGTAGAAAACAGCTACCAACCCAGCGACCGGAACTGCATGTGCCGGGCTTTGGGACATAGGAATTCCACACCCTTGCTGCCCCTCTACTCCCTGCTGCCCCAAGGCTGGGCCTTGGTTGGCCTTGTGGGAAATCCGGCCCTGGTCACAGTAGTTATAGAGCACACTAAAACTTTTCATAATTCACTTTTATTTTTAAATGCTGTTCTCTGTAGTAAACAATCCACAGCTCTGATGCTTTTTATTTCTATAATTGACTCTACAGCAGAAAGCTTCCCTAGACCGATACTCTCTTGGACATGAATGTTGTATCACATTGTAACATTAATCCGGGCCTCCACAGACTGTACAAGAACTGTATCTAACCAGTGATCTCTTTTTCCTATTTCTCTTGTCCCGATGAAAGCCTTCCCTGTAAAGTGAAGCCTAAATGCCATGGCCTTGTACAAAAAAACCTAGCATGCTGTATTTGAATTAGCTTACTGAGTTGCTGAACTATTTGTACTCACTTTTAAATGTGAACGTGCGTTTTCCCAATCCACATCGCCTCACTTTGCCACCTTGGAAGAGCCCGTAGTAGATGTCCCCAATAAACTTCACCAGCTCCGGATCTGAAGCATTGACCAGATCGACTCCCGTCTGGCATAGAATCTTTCCAGTCATCCATTTCTGAGTAGCCATGGCAACAATGATAAGCACAAACGATGCGAAGCTACAAGCGGCAGCCAAGGAGAATATGGTTTTCTTGAAGCACCCGGGCATCCTAAAGCTTTGGAGAAGTCATCCTTGGCCCTGCCATGCAGCAACAATACCGCTTGTTACCATCCATGCATGTTCTCATAATGACACCCACGGGATATTCCATCTTCACACCAAAAATTGCCTGGCGTCAGTATGAGGATCAGGGTTGGTATGCAGCACTTCCTGGGACACAGACTGCATACAAAAGGGCATCTTGCAATCTTCAGCATAGAGACACACAGGTGTAGGCTGAATCCTAGAGGCGGTAACCCTATCTCCAGTGCTCTACTTATGTTTCAGAGAACTCTTTCATTGTCTTCTCTTTAAATACTCAGGTGACAACCGCCTTATAGGAGCACCAGACTTTCATGAGCTGCATGTTTACCCAGCTTGGCAAAATACTGATATTTGTAAGAATGTGGTGCAGGAAATGCTCAGTCACTTTACCATTAGATATACCCTTACTTCTATCAATCTGTTCTATGGGGCAGAGATATTTTGTAAATATTAGCAGAGAAAACAGTACATCTGGAGGATAGAAACATGAAAGGTCACAACTTCCTCAGGCCTTGATTCCAGGATCCCCAGAAAAGACATTGAGGGGAATTTATCAAAACTGGAGCAGACAAAAACTGGAGCAGCTGTGCATGGCAACCAATCAGCTTCTTCCTTCAGTTTGTTCAATTAAGATTTGAAAATGAAAAAGAGAAGCCGATTGGTTGCCATGCACAGCTGCTCCAGTTTTGATAAATTCCCTTCATTATATCCTTTAAATGTAAAACGATATTAAAAGGATTAAAACTTTTTTAAGCCATTTTAAATGCTGATGAAATCACTTACAATGGATGCTGCTCCTTGATGTATTAAAGTTTTAGGGGGTTATTCACTAATGATCTGAAGGATCCAGCTGTAGCTTCAGCTGATTCTTCGGCTCGCTTCGGCCACCTGAGCCCTTCAGTTCAGTCGAACCAAAGGGCTGCTGTACAGGCTATTCACAATAGCCCGCACAGCAGCCGAACGCATATGCTTCAGGCGAAGCGGCGAGAAAGGATGGCCAAAGCCGACCGATCTCCATGCAAATGACAGCTGGGCGGAGCCAGACGTAATCTCACGGCTCGCTCTGCCCAGTTGTAATGATAGATCAGCATCCCCAAATGACCTGGGGAAGCTGATCTGTCATTAAACAATAACAACTGGGAGAGCCAGGAGAGACATCACAGCTGGTTCCGCCCAGTTATTTATTGGCTGATAAGACTCTGGCAGGTGGCGGCCAATAGGAAACAGTTGGGAGGAGCTAGCAACGGGTCATGGCCCCTATGAGAACAGGGGCGAACAGAAGTAAGTGAGCTGCCGGAGCTTCGGCTCTGCCAATCCAGATGTTGGATCGGATCAGCCGTACCAGGCTGAAGTAAATAGCCGAACGTTGTTCGGCTCACTTCACTACGGCTCAGTTATTCACTGAGAATCAACTGGTCCCCTGAGTGCTGGCCTGATATCCTGTTTTAAGGTGGCTCCTTTCCCTTGCAGGGTCATGTGGAGCCACCTTTGTGTGTGCTAGCAAGCTGAGTGTGTCTTCATAAACACACAGTACAGCAAGGCAAGTCACTGCCCTCCCTGTTCCTCCTTTCTCCTCTCTTCAAGCTGGTAGATGGACGGATTCTCTGTTCCTTGTGATCTTGTACTGGACAGGAAGTTGAGGGAAGCCGAGTTGAGAGAGATGGAGCCAACTGTTTGGAAAAATGATCACTGTAAGTGATACAAGAAATACTTTGCTGGGTAATTTACATTTGATTGATCTGGATTCGTCATTTAAAAAAAGGTTTGAGTGTTTAATGCTAATTTAAAGATGAATGGCAGAACAAAAAACTAGAATTAGTCTGCAGGTAGCCTGTGTCCAAAGCAGGTCTGAATCAAAATATTCATGTTTGAATGGAGATCACCTTCAGTCTATGTTCCCACCACATCTGGTACCCCTTACTTATTCACAAGGAGGGGCGGCATCTGAGTGCCCCCTTAACTAGAGAGGTACCCCGATGCAATTAAGCCCCCTGCCCGGAGACCCTCACAACCACCGGGTCAGGGTTGTGGGGAAGAATCCCTTATCCCTATCGGCATGAGGACAACCTCCCAATGCTGAGGACATGTGGACTGGTAAGGTGCAGCGAGGGGGGCACTCGATATTGCCCCCTCCCCCTTTCTCGCCCTGCCAGACCTGTGCTCGGAACAAAGGTCTGGTAGGAATTTTAAGGGAGACCCCACATTTTTTTCCCCATTTTTGGGGGGCGGTGTTCCTTAACATTCCTACTAGACCTAAAGGGCCTGGTATGGCTTTTAGGCGGAACCCCAAACACTTTTTTTTTTTTACTTGGGGGCCCCCCCACCTAAAGGGTCTGGTATGAATCGGGAGGGGAACCTCATGTTTTTGGGTTGTTTTGTTTCAACTGCGAACTATAAAAACAAACGTCCTTTTTTTTTTCTTTTTGTCTAATGTCACTTTGCTGCAAAGGAAATTCATCCGGAACGAACATTCGTACATACTACCGCTAACTAATTTTTTCCGAATCCGAAATCGAATTAACTTTCGGACTCGAATCCGGAAAAACGAAATAACAAAAAATCTGAATAAAAACGAAACAAAACAAACTTTTTGCCGGTGCACATGTGTAACAGGGACCCAGCGATGATGTCACTGGGTCTGAAATAAAGTATGAAATTAAAATGGAAAGGACTTATTTAGTAATTTCATGAGCATGTTAATGAGTGGGGAGGGAGGAGCCAGGGAGCGCAGAATATAGGAAGATATCACTTTAGCTTTAAATGTATTTTACAGTTACTTGCAGTGTGTCAGTGCCGGGTTTGTTTTTGTTATGTTTTAATGATTGGATTGCATGATACCTGTGTAAGTAACTGGTGATGAGAGAAAACCTCATAACTTTTCAGTACCAGTGGAGGGTCATTGTGTGTAGAGAGCTGCAGTTGGTATGAGTGTATTAGATGAATGCAGGGTGAATAGGTGCTGGTTCTCCATTCTTCAGATCCATAGAGGAAGGGGCACTTTAATAAAGGAGGAGAAAGGGAAATATAAGGAATATAAGGAAATAAAACCTCAATTATTAGGATGTGAAGGATCTCATGTCTCCAGTACCGATCAGTCTCTGCTCCCCGTGTGTGTCTCCAGTACTGATCCGTCTCTGCTCCGTGTGTGTGTCTCCAGTACCGATCCGTCTATGCTCCCTGTCTGTATCCTATCCTTAAGGTGCCCATACACTTTACAACACCCGAAGACTTTTGTCTTGCGAGGGTTGTAAAGTAATTAAAAAACGTACGATCTGCCCATCTTGGACAGGCAGATCGTACTTGCGATCATCGCAAGCCCGCCCCCCTGAGGGGCGGGCTTTCCGATGACTGCAATGCTGAACGGGCAGTGTGCGCACACGGGCCCGTGCAGCAGTTATCTCACGATCATGCTAAAAACCAGCCGAAAAATCGTACGATTCTCGGCTGGTTTTCCAACATGCTCGAAATACAAGTCGTCCGACCGTACAGTAGAAACGGTCGCACGCCTTCCATACACTGCACGATTATCGTACGGTAATCGTGCAGTGTATGGGCACCTTTAGACTTTATTTCCAATGCACCTTCACACAGTTGCTTAGACTGACATTGCTTGTCTCCCCCTGGTTATCATTGTAGCTCTGTCCGTCCTGCTAGTCTCCCCCCTGGTTATCATTGTAGCTCTGTCCGCCCCCCCCCACCCGGTTATCATTGTAGCTCTGTCTGTGTTCTATACATTTTTCTATACACTGAGTGGCCAGGTTATTATGACCACCTGACGTTTGTAGGCAAATTAGCTATAATTAGCTATAATGTTGCGCTGAAGTTGCTAAAGGGCCAGACCATTATAAATAGGGAAGCAGGTTGTTTACCACGAGAGTAGAAGTTATTTTTTTCTGAAGATATGGGTAAACAACGCGATTTAACAGCCTTTGAACGTGGGATGATTGTTGGCGCTCGGAGCCATGGAATAATATACATTCTGCTACACATGCCTCCAGAACTAATCAGTCTCTGCTCCCTGTGTGTGTTTTCAGTACTAATCGGTCTCTGCTCCCTGTGTGTGTCTCCAGTAACGATCAGTCTCTGTTCTCTATGTGTGTCTCCAGTACTGATCAGTCTCTGCTCCCTGTGTGTGTCTCCAGTACCGATCAGTCTCTGCTCCGTGTGTCTCCAGTACCGATCAGTCTCTGCTCCCTATGTGTCTCCAGTACTGATCAGTCTCTGCTCCCTGTGTGTGTCTCCAGTACTGATCAGTCTCTGCTCCCTGTGTGTCTCCAGTACCGATCAGTCTCTGCTCCCTGTGTGTCTCCAGTACTGATCAGTCTCTGCTCCCTGTGTATCTCCAGTACCGATCAGTCTCTGCTCCCTGTGTGTCTCCAGTACCGATCAGTCTCTGCTCCCTGAGTGTCTCCAGTACTGATCAGTCTCTGCTCCCTGTGTGTCTCCAGTACTGATCAGTCTCTGCTCCCTGTGTGTCTCCAGTACTGATCAGTCTCTGCTCCCTGTGTGTATCCTATCCCCAGACTTTACTTTCTGCTCGCAATGCACCTTCACCTGCACATGGTTGCTTAGACTGACACCGGCAGCCAGAACTCCGCCCTGCTCGTCCCCCCCCCGTTATCATTGTAGCTCTGTCCGTCCTGCTCGTCTCCCCCCTGGTTATCATTGTAGCTCTGTCCGTCCTGCTCGTCTCCCCCCTGGTTATCATTGTAGCTCTGTCCGCCCTGCTCGTCTCCTCTCCGGTTATCATTGTAGCTCTGTCCGTGTTCTATATATAATATACATTTTGCTACACATGTCACCAGCACTGATGTATATCTGCGGAACACGTGACTGCCCAGCCAGGCTCGTACAGCAGCTGCGACATCCAATGGTGAGCCGAGACGTCATCTGGAAGACTCTCGGTGAGACCTGGGATGGGAGGTGCGGTGACGTCACCAGGGGGCGGTGTCGAGCCCTTTGCTCTGTCTTAGTTGACAGCAGACAGGCAGAGTTCAGTGGTGATCAAAGACAGCACTTTACCCCACACACACACACTGTGCAGGATGGCAGCTGAGGCACAGAGAGTACTGGTATATGGAGGGAGAGGAGCCCTGGGCTCCAAGTGTGTGGACTACTTCAAATCCAAAAACTGGGTAACTATGAATTCACATAAGTTTTACTCAATGATTGCTGATGGTCTCATTACAAAGTATGCAGGGTAGTGACACTGACTTTAGGTGTGCAGTAGTTTGTAATATGACATAACCCTGTTCTGCTTAAATGTCTATTTCATGACGGCAATGATGGAATCATGTTTTTGTTTTATTTTTCAGTGGGTGGCATCCATCGATGTGACAGAAAATGCAACTGCCAATGCCAATGTTTTAGTGAAATTGTCAGATTCTTTCACCCAGCAGTCTGAAGAGGTGAGTCACTCTGTATCCATGTATTAGAGACTGATCGATCGCAGTAGTATAGTCGGATCAATTGCTGTATTAGAACCAAATCGCTGTAGTAGAGCCCTGATCAGTCGCTGTAGTAGAGCCCTGATCAGTCGCTGTATGGGAGCCTGATTAGTCGCTGTATGGGAGCCTGATGAGTCACTGTATAAGAGCTCAATCAATCGTTCTATTTGAGCTCCATCAATCGGACTCAGGGGAGAAGAGGCTGGAGGGAAATTCTCATTCCAGGTATTGAGTATCTACATATTGTCAGTACAAGTACCTGGGCTGTGGCATGAAACAGATTTAGTTGCTTCAGGTTCTCATGCAGAAATGATCTTCATTCAGTGAGACAGGGCAGAAAATGGAGCGAGCTAACCTGTAGCTGTCTGTCAGTAATCATCTCTCACTCAGCTGTCTACAGTAAATTGTCTACAGTAATATATATATATATAT